GTCTCAGACCCCTTCACCCACAACAGACATGATAGGGCCAAGGGGGGAAGGCAGGAGCGGCTGCAGGGGCTGACTCTGCTAATGTCGGTCTCAGAGCCCTTCACCCACAACAGACATGATAGGGCCAAGGGGGAAAGGCAGGCAGAAAGGAGAGCATTAACCCAAATGCAGTGTGATGAGCTAATGCAATAAACTGTGAATAAGCCTAACAGGGAGAGGGAAAGGACCAAAAAATACCAAGAATCAAAAAAGAAGAATTAAAGCTGGAAAACATTTTTTTTTTCCTGATGACTACTCTGCTTATTAAAGGAATACTTTTTCTTATATGTGTAAAGGGAACAAAGGCATTCTTAGAGAAGTCCAAAAGATAGTTTGAGAAAAGCACATGTTTCCCTTGTTAATAGCATGGGGAACTCTGCTCTTATGCTTCAGCTAACAGGCTTGGGAACAGCACAAAAATCGTGCCCATGTCCTACAGCTGTAAAGCCAGGGCCTCCCTCCAAGTTAGGTCACTTTCCATCTGGAGGGTCCCTAGCTGACCCTTGATTCATGTAAGTGTATACACCAGATAGCTAAGATGATTGAAACACAATTTGTTTTTAAATCACGCAGAAATTGCTATGTGAATATACTTGGAAAAGTATGAATACACAGATTTTTTAAAGGAATGTTAACTTCAAATAATATAATCAAAAGTCACTCAAAATAGGGCCAGCAAGATAGTTCAGCAGACTAAGCGCCTGCATAGGCAAGCACTGGGACTGGGGTTCAATCCCGGTACCATATGCTGCACTGGCCTCGTCCAGGCGTGGTGGCGCACACCTCTAATCCCAGCACTTGGGAGGCTGAAAACAGGAGGATCACTACAAGTTTGAGCTGTGCAGTGAGACCTTGTACCAAATACATAAATTAAAAAAAATTTTTTTGAAAAAGTTACTCAATACAAACAGAAATCTAAGATATCAGCTGTTAAAAAAAACAAAATTGCTCTTTAAAAATTCTACGTTTCCTCCTAAATAAAACACAGGCAAAAAACTAGCAAGTTGTATCCCTACGTGAAAGAGCACATACAACTCTGGAAAGTAATTGCTGCCCTGAGTAAGTGCCTCTTTTCTGCTACTATAAACCCTCCTTTAAATGTCAGTAAAAATGCTCTGCACTGTTCTACGGAGGAAGCCCCCTGCTGCCAAAGTCTGTGGCCCGGGCCCTGGGGCGGAGCCCGGAGAAGCCACCACTGCTCTGCTCCGCTCTGGGCTGCTGCACAGAGCAGCACGGTCACCATGGTCACCACTGCCCATCTCCAGGGGCACAGGCAGCAGCTGTGCAGAGCACAGCGCCCCTCAGCTCCTGCACTCACAGCATCCCGCAGGCTGCATGAGGACAGCCAGGCTGGAGGCACCTAAGTCTTCTCTAGATTACCGTTTTCTCTAGTGTCACCTCAGGGGTCTCGCAGATATAGTCATCTCAGTCTGAACCAAACCAGCTATGCAGAAACGACCTGGGGCCTCCACTCTCTCAGACCAAGATGACACCAGCGTCCTTCATGACTGCGCCCCAGCTCTCTTTCCTCAGAGCTGTCCTCATCCCCAAGCAGGCATGGAGAAAGACACTGCAGGAAATGACACTGGCTATTGGGAAATGTGCGGTGCAAATGCCCAACGCTACTGTGCCGAATGCCCCAAAGCCCTGACTGATCAGTTTTCACAGTTCACACGTGGCTTCACCACTATCACATCAGCCCTAATCATAATGCAGTGTCCTTTAAAAACAGGACTTTGGGCCACGGGTAGGTTCCCTGGCAACCACTCACTCACACAGAAATGAGCCATGTCGCCAGGTGCAGGATGCGGCTAGCTAACTGCTCCAGACAGATGAATTCCCACACTGCACCGAAGAGGCAGGGAGCAGGGCAGCCTGCCTCACATCAGCTATTTCAGAAAGCAAAACAAGGAAAGGTGCTCAACTCCACGAGGTCAAATAAATCACAGCAACAGAGTCTGAGCAAAGCCTTCACTAACTTTCATTTCTCTTCAGACATAATGACAGCTGAATTGGATGTCAACCTGCCTGAAGACAGGCGTCCCTAGCAGATGGGTGGAATCTTACTCTAGGATATGCTCCTGAGAGCTTTCCCAGAGGACAGGGAAGAGACAGGGTGCCCCTCACTGTGGACAGGCACACGCCACCTGGCTCAGGGCCTGGCTGGAGTAAGGACAAAGGGCAGCTACTGCCTCTCTCCCAGGGGCTGGAATACGCTCTCCTCGTGCACACAGAAATCACGTCTAGGCTTCCTGCCTCAGCCTCGGGGCCTATGCCAGCAGACCCACAGGGCCCTGGAGTGCACTGAGCAGCACTACTCGCAAGCTAGAATCCCCAGATTGCAGACAGCCTGCTGTGGGGCTGCCCAGCCTCCATCGCCACACAGGCAATTCCCTGGATAAACCCTCTGCTGTCTAATACATCGACACAAACACTGCAGTCCTCAGCTGTCTCTCTAGAGCCCCGACAGACTCACAACAATGCCAAGTGCTGCAGATCCTCCTCTGGGCCTGCCTGAGGGCCTCTACCATGCCCCACCCATCCTGCTGGCTAGCGGGGAGAACAACCAGTCTGGAGGGCACCAGACACACAGGCTCAGCGCTGCCTTTCTTCCGCACACACCCAGCAGAGTGCGGCTGCCTGGGGAAGGAAGCACAGGTCCTGCTCTGTTCCCACCACCAGTCTGACCACAGTGAGCTCCACCTCTGCAGGAAGCCCACTGTGGTCCAGCAGACTGACTGCACCACACCTGCCCAGTCCTAGAGATCAGTATTTGGAAGCCGGTGGGAATCGGCATTTGCACTTCCCTGACTTCTCCACCTCTGTTAACTGATGCAGGACACATGGGCAAGTGAGTGAACAGGACAGAATGTATCAGTGCCTTCACTCTGGGTCAGAATCTAAAAATACCACCAGCATTACTGACAGCTGAGTGGCAGCCCATGCACCACCTGCCCTACCAGTCTAGCCTGCGGACCACCTCAGGACAAGTGTCTCCCTTCCTACACAGCTGACATCCATGTATCACTGCAACCTGGTGCACGATGATCCTGAGGTCTTCCCTCCGAGCCGGCTCCCGACAGACCTTCCTGACCAGCAGACTACACAGCCATGCCCTGTTTACTGATATTCTACACCACAAATGTACTCCCAAAGACCCACCTGCACCCTCCAAACTCCGCACAATACTTGGTCTAATACCTGGATGCATAAGTGGAAAATGCAAGCATGAATGAAAAGGACTCTGGTTTCCTTTCCATTTTAGTATGTGCCAATTCAACACATTGTGGAAACACTACAACATGGCAAGGTTCCTAACCCAAAGTGTACAAACATGACAGTAACTATAGTAAATGTCGCCAGATTGTCTCAAAGGTGGTATCACACAATGTCTAAAGAGCCTCTTGATTATAGTTGTCCTGGAACCTGTATGTATGTGTATATATGTATATATATATGTGTGTGTGTATATATATATATATATATATAGAGAGAGAGAGAGAGAGAGAAAGAGAGAGACAGCGAGAGAGATTTGCTTCCTAGGAAATGCTTTTGACATAGAATTTTACTACACTGTGATAATTTTAAAATTACTCCAGCAAATGCAGCAAGCACGTAACTATAACAATGTACTTACGCATTTCGATGTCCCTGGCTCACTGAGGAAACAGAATGAGAGCCCGGCACTGGTGAAGGAATTCTTTCTGATGGCAAACGTGTCTAGAACACAACGGATAAAACTACATTATTTTTCTTACTGATAGCACTAATCTTCAGGCCATTTTCGCTGCATTTAGATTTTTTTAATGAAGTCACTAAAATCAAAATTGTTACTTCAGAACAAAGTCCTTAGCTTAGTGTCCTACCTTGAGATTTTACAGAAGAGCCACATAAAATGGGCTAGAGGACTTGGTGCGCCACCGCGAGGTGTCCCACTACACTGCTACACTACGACCTCTACTACTGGGAACACAGCCAGCTGACTTGGAAACCTGCGCAGACGGGTCTTCCACAGAAAATCTGCCTAAGGCCACTGCTGCCACAGCCTTTGTGCGCCCAGGGCAGGCTCAGGGCCCAGGCACTGCGAGCAGAGGTGCTGAGGCCATCCGTGCTGGCTAACAGCAACGTTGTTCTTTCCCCACTAAAACAGCATCCACAGTGAGCGCTGCAGCCGCACCTGTATCTGAAATGAGGGCTTACGGGAGGGGCAAGAAGTTCAGCACTCACCTTCCTCCACGCCTGCGCTATAGACTCCTGTAAATTGTGAGGAAGCAGTGCCTGCAGCCCTTCACAGGTGCCGTACATCTGACAGCACACAGACACAAACGCACCCTGCACCGCGGGCCGCAGCGCTGATCCGGGAAACACAGAAATCTCCCCATCCAGAAGTCTCTTTGTGAACTGGGCAATGATGTGAGCACCTGGCGGGCTGAAAGATGACACCACAGTCACGGAATCTCAACTGGATGACTGGACGAAGCAACCCCCAAGTCCAGCCTTGCCGTAAGCTTCTGTCTGCTGGATTCTGAAGCAGACCAGGCACGGCCCCGCACCCAAGGCGGTGTCCGAGTCCAGCAGGGAGCAGGAAACAGCGGAGAGCAGACAAGGAGAAGAGACAGCACCACACGTACACGTGGCCAGGAACATGTATCATCCTGGATCATACAGTGGACAGAATCCCGAATTCTTCGATTTTCACAGTGTAGACACACCTCCTGCCACATGTAATACCTGGCCCCCCAAATCTCAAAGTCTAAGGTGCCTTTGCTAGAAGCAACAGATACGCAGTAAACTAAAGGACTTCCACATGCTACAGACCATCCTAAGTATCTTACGTATATTTATTTAATGTTCACACTGTATCCTAGGAGGGAAGTTTATTACCCATGGTTTTACAGCTAAAGAAGCCAAAAGTTTCTTACACATACACAAGTAATCATGGAACACCACAGAGCTCATAGGAGGCAGAATGAAGCAGGATGACCTATGTTAGGCTCCAGAATACACACTTCTAATGACTTGTCTAGTTTTATTCTTTTTAAATAAATATTAGGTAGTAGGTTGAAGAGAGTATCAACTATTCATGCACCTTCTGTCACTTTCAAGAGTTAAGGAATTATTGTACTCGAATACTAAGAAAGAAAAAAGTCAAAATTATGAACAAAACATCCAAAACTCTAGGGAATGGTTTAAAGACCAAACTTAACAAAAGGTTTGAGCAGAAGGGTCACAAAATTCAAACTAATGCCACAGAAAATGTATTTAATGAAATAGTAACAGTGGGAAAAATATGGACATCCATGTATAGGATGCATTTAAAACCCCAAACAGGAATGACCAGGAAGAGCCTCCCCAGGACACGTTATAGTCAAAATAGCAAAAGCATATATAGGACAAACAAAAAATTGAAAGCCAGATATGAACATTCCAAGTTACTTACAGAGAAAAGCCAATCAGAATACCTGAGACTTTCCTGCAGACACTCTGAAGGCCAGGAAGGCTAGAAGGATGTATTTCAATCCCTGATAGAAAATAACTGACAACTTTAATGATTACATTCAACAAAGCTATTCTTCAAATATGAAAAAGAAATACTTTTCAAGATAAGCACAAACTAAAGAAACTCATAAGCACTAAGCCAGATTTACATAAATACTTAAAAGAATCCTGTGAACAGAATAGTAAGAGTAGACAAAAATTTGAAAAGGACCAATCAGAAAAACAGTAAAATGACAGGAAGTTGTACATACTTATCTATAGTAATTCTGAAAGTAAATGGCCTTACATAAATACTTAAAAGAATCCTGTGAACAGAATAGTAAGAGTACACAAAAATTTGAAAAGGACCAATCAGAAAAACAATAAAATGACAGGAAGTGGTACATACTTATCTATAGTAATTCTGAAAGTAAATGGCCTTAATTCTCAAATCAAAAGACAAAGGCTAGGAGAGTACTGAAAAGAAAATCCATCTCCTTGCTGCCTATAAGAAACACAGCTCACCAGCAAAGATATATACATACTGAAACATGAAAGGAAATAGTATTTTTGATACTGGATTCCAAAGACAGTCGGGAATAGCTAGACTTTACATCAAACAAAGCAAATTTCGAAACAAAATTAGGAGAAACAAAGAAGACTACTAAATATTAATAAAGGGATCAGTCATTTAAGAAAATAAAACAACTATAAATGCTACATATGCACCAAATACTGATGGACACAATTAAACACAATACACAAAATGAAAGTATACATATGGACCATATGACAACAGTAGAAACTTCAATCCCTAATCTAATCAACAGATGTCATCCAAACAAACAAAAGGAAACATCAGAATTAAGCTACTGGAGACCAGGGAGGCCGCGGGATCCTGAACAGACCCAGAACGCAGGCCCAGGGAGTGAGTAAGATGACTGAGGCCGCGGGATCCTGAACAGACCCAGAGCGCAGGCCCGGGGAGGGAGTGAGACGACCCAGGCCGCGGGATCCTGAACAGACCCAGAGCGCAGGCCTGGGGAGTGAATGAGATGACCCGGGGCCGCGGGATCCTGAACAGACCCAGAGCACAGGCCCGGGGAGTGATTGAGACGACCGAGGGCCTCAGGATCCTGAACAGACCCAGAGCGCAGGCCCAGAGAGTGAGTGAGTGAGACCCAGGGCCGCGGGATACTGAATAGACCCAGAGCGCAGGCCGGCGAGTGAGTGAGACGACCCAGGGCCCAGGGATTCTCATTTGACCCAGGCTGCAGGCCCAGCACAGAACCCTTAAGCAGAACTCCCTGCAAAGAGGCTAGAGGCAAGACCCACCCAGCTGATTCAGGAGCAGAACACCTTGCCAGAGAGACACGAAGGGTTCCACTCTAACATCTGCAGCAGAAAGAAGTGGAGCACAGCAGCCAGATCCAAACAACACCCACCCGGAGGAATCCGAACTTCA